TTTTATTTATTTTATTTTAAGTTTTTCATTGAATCTTTGAAATTAAAATTATATTAATCCTCAAAATAATTCATTTTTGAGAAAATTGTGAAGTGAAAGCGGTTTTTGGGATAAATAATTAAAGGAAAAGGGGGAGAAAGTGAAAAATTTATACATATAAAAGGAGTGCGTGTGCCATGATTTTCTCTCATTCACTATTTAGCTCCAACGGCACACTCATAAAATTCTCTCAAATCTGTTTAAATTTCCATTAAATTTGTTGTGAAATCAAGCTGTTCACGTGGTAATTTTCATGAACACGGTTGAATTTTTTAATTATTTTCACAAAATTTTCATGGTTTGCTGTTGAATCTTCATAAAAAATTGTTTCTTTTCATGTGTAACCGCACACGTTCGTGTGCGGCTAACCGTGTGCTGATACACTCCTTCATGTAAAAAGCGTGTGTGGATGACTATTTGCTGCCACATTTTTAAATGAACGAATGTGTGCGGCTGTCCTTGTACAGCTGTACACATGCGTGTGCGGCTGTGTGTATCAGCGTGTGCAGCTGCATTTTTTTTATGTTGCCCTAATATTTTCATGTGTTAACTTTCATATTAAAATGGGAGACATGGAGTTTGCTAAAGCTCATAATTTTGCAATTTTTCTTGAAGATCCTCCTGCAGCCCACGGTGACTTGAAATTCATTGTGGATGGTTTGAAGAAATCATGCCTGGTTAATTGCTTAACTACAAACCCTACCATCTATCAAAGCTTAATTAAGGATTTCTGGAGAAATGCTGAAGTAAAGAAGAATGATCGAGGCGAAAATTTTATGGAAACAACAATTGAAGACAAGAAAGTTCTAGGTATAGAAAGCAGCATCAGTGAATCTCTTCAAATTGAGGACATACCTGAGTAACTCATGGAAATTGAAGTCCATCAAATTGAGAAAATTTTGGAACATATAGGATACGAAGGAACTTTTCCTCCTACAATCAAAAAGCTGCTTCCGCCATGCTGGAAGCTTTTAGCTCATGTGTTCGTGAGTTGCGTTTATGGTCGGAGATCAGGAGCTAACGAGATTTCTCTAGCCAATACTGGTGCCATTGCTGCATTGGCAGCAGGTTTTGAGTTTAATTTCTCAAAATTCATATTGAATGAAATGATACTGAATATTGAAGGAAGAAAAAGAGACAAATTTTGCATGTATCCAAGAATTCTACAAATCATCCTTAACATAACTCACCCCGAGTTGTAGAGAGGAAATGATACTTTGGATTTCACATTCATTGGTCCAACTGCCTTTGGATTAATGAAGTAAAAGAGAGGCGGAAAATTTGTATTTGAAGGAAAATTTCCTTTAATAAAATTTGGAATTTTTAAAGAGGATGATAGAGAAGAAGCAGCAGATAAATCCATGCCGACAGAAAATGAATACACTCATCACTCTCCCTCTGAGCCTGTAGTGGAGGAGATTCATCACTCTTCCATAGCTTGTGTTGCTGATGAGCACGATCATCAGAAAGCAAATGATTCAATATCTTCTCGAGGGGATGATGACGATGATCTTTATGAAGATGTAGATTTTTTGAAAGAAATCGACTTTATAGGAATCAATGATGATATTCCAACAAACATCGAGTTTGATTTTGGTGATGAAGATTTTGATCCCTTTCTTGATATTCCCAGCAGCCATGCAAATAAAGTCAATGAAGTTGCTTCTCTAGCAACCAAGACTAGAGATGAAGGAAATTCTCTGAAAATTCTACTCTGTTCCTCAAATCCATTGGAAATCACAACAAGTCAAGGAGATGTGACATCAGAGATTCCTCACTCTGTGTCACCTGTCTCAACATCAACTCCAGTCATTTCTATGATATCTGAACCTCAGACTTCCCAGACCTCCATTAGAACAAGCCAATCTCTTGAGAGTCTAGAGGTACCTTTTGTGAAAAGTGCTCCTCAAATTATCTCAACAATCACTGCAACCACTACTCACTCTCCTTCAAAACAGACTGATGAAGCTCCAAGCACCATGTTCGAGACTGGTGGATCTTCTTCTATTCCAGAATATCCACCTGATGAAGCATCTATCAGATTAGTAAAACATTTAGCTCAATCTAGTCCAACCTCGTCACGCGGAAAAGGAATATCATTTAACGAGGGCCAGACAAATGATGACAGATCTTCTTCATCTGATCTCTGAGAAGAAGTTGGAATTCTCCATCAACAGCTCATTGAAAAATCTATTCAAATGAATCAGCTTTCTGTACATATTTTTGAGCTCAGGGCAAAAGATGAAGAAAAGACCAAAAAAATCAAGGATCTACAAACGAGTCTCGGTTCTGTTCTAGTAAACTATTTCAATCTCAAGAACGTATTGTACGATGCCTTTGGTGAGAAAGTCAAAGCCCTTTTCCAACAGCCTCATGGAGTAGTCGATCCTCCTTCTGTTCAATCACCTCTTGCAACTGATGATCTACCTGTTAACCCACCTGTTCAAAGAACAACTACCATTGTAGACAGATTTGAAAAAGAACCTGAAGGTAGCAGTGTGAGAATTCCAACCAAGCAGGGCAAAAGAATCACAAAACATAGCGAAGGCCTTTTATTCATGAAAAACTCTAATGAAAATCGCAAAACAAAAGACTCTGTCTTGACAGTAACAGATTTGAAGAAAAGAAAGTTTGGTGATGAATACGGTGACAGAACAGGAATCCGAATGTGGGCCTTTGATCCAGTGACGAATTTGTGGGTTGTAAAGCGAAAATCAAGAGCTTCTAAATGTTACAAAAGCACCTATGATTTCAACTCTTGGACCAAAACTGATCTAGCTGAATTATCTAGGGCCCCATTCCATAACCCCTCTGAAGATCAAAATGCTTCAAATTTCAAAAGATTCCTCGACAGACACATCAAAGAGAACTTTCCTTCAATGAAGACTGCCAAAGCTCTATACAAAAAGGACAAAGATGTTCTTGATCCAGAAACAGGTGAACAAATGAGGATTATACTTTGGCCTGCAACTAAGAAACAGAAGGAAATTCCTATTCTTCAACACTTTCATGAGGGATATCTAGATGACACGGAATTTTGGGCATATGATGACGAAACAGCCACTGCAACCATCAAATTCAAGAATCGAGAACATATTATGAGATTGATTAGTGCTAAAGATCTTCTACGCTTTAGAGAAAAAGATATACTAACTTTGGCCCATCATCAAATCATTTGCAGAAAGGATTTCATGGAGCCTACTGCTAAAGAATTCACTGCAATGGTAGTGTGACAACCCTAAATTTCCATTTTGAACAAACCATTTGAAGCCAATAGAAGTAGAACAGTTACAGTGAAGACTCAGATTTCGAGTATAAGTTTGGCAGTTTTCAGGATTTTACACTTAAGGAGATATTAGGAGAGTGGATGCACTAGGGTTTTTTGCAACACTGTTATTCCAATACTCTAGGATATTAGAGTTCATTCCAAGAATAGGAATATTTTCTGCCAAAAATCCCAGGGCTATATATAGAAAACTGAACCAAATAGTTCATTAGTTGAATTCCAAATAGAGAAAAGCCAAAATTCTCTCTCACGGATCTTCGGGTTTTTATCCCAAATTGTGAGTAGCTCTTTCTAGTTGTGTTAGAAAGCTTTAAATGTGTACATAACATAGATTACATAGCTAAATCATCCGATTTAGGAGTTTACTCCCCAAGGTGTTCTTGGGTGGTAAACTCCTGAAACCAAGCCTAGATTGTCCCCCGTGATTTGTAACTACCTCGGACTTGTATAGGAGTGTGTTAGGGACATGAAATCAACCAAGAATCACCCATGTTTGGGTGTTCACGGCCCAAGAATATCTTAGGCCGTAAACTCCAAAAAGAATGCCCAAATGGTGCTTTTAAGGCACCTAAGGCTTAGACTTGATTTTAGACATGTACCCTAAAGTGTTTAAAGCTTAGAAAACATAAGGAGTCACAAGTATTGAGGAGTTTACGGCCAAGACAAGTTCTTGGGCCGTAAACCCCTATAAAGGGGTCAATTGGCACCCTAACTCCTTCCTTATGCCTAGAACCCAACATAGATCATAACCTTGAAATGTTAGAGACTTGAAAACACGATAAACACCCTCCCAAGGGAGTTTACGGCCGTCAACTCCAAAGGAATATGGTCTCTGGGCCGTAAACTCCTTAAAGGAGTTAATATGACACCCAAACACTTGTTTTAGCCTTGAAACAATTCACCACATGAGTTGTATAATTGTTAGACTTCAATTAGAGGCTTTGTTGAGAGTTTACCGCCAGGAGTTTACTCCCCTGAGCTATAAACTCCAAGACATATGGTCTTTAGACCATAAACTCCCATTAAGGGCATTGCACTCCTTTGTTGCAACCCATTTGCCTCCTAGCACTTGACCAAAAGTGTTTTCCTCGCGTTTAAAGGTTTCTTCTTGCATAATTAGTGTTTTAATCACTAATTATTTATATACATATGTCTTCATATGTAATTAGGATCATTGTGTGTGTCTAAAGACTTCACTTGACACCAAGCACTTGTCTGATCCTTCCTTACGATAAGAGTCCGTTCAATTCCAGTCACTTACTACAGGTGAGTTCATACCCCATTAACTAATGTTTTAACTATTTTAAATGTTTTATAGGGGGGGTACAAGTAGAATCATGCTAGTTATTATATCAATCACATGTGATTAATAAGTAGAATTATGCTAGTTATTACATCAATCACATGTGATTAATATACAACATTCAAATGATTTGGCTACTCATTAGCCGTTTTACCAAACAGTTTCCTTCAAATGATTTTTATAAACATTTTTTATGTTTTAAACTCCTTATTACACTGTACATTTTACTCTATATATCACATTTCAAACTTATTTACAATTGTGTTTCAAACAAATGTTTCCTTATACTTAAACTGTTTTATCAAACCTATGCCTTCAAATTGTTTTATAGGTTGACATCAAGTCGATCTTTTCTAAAGATAATAATTATGTTCAAATGTTTTTAAAAACTTATTTATCCTTTTATATTATAAATTGCATGCCTCTATATGTATAGTTATATAAGAAATGTTTAAAAGACTTAGGAAGGCTATCCACCCTATTTCCTTTCTGCGCTAGAGATGTGGTCTGGTGGGATATCGGGTACTTGTCTGAAGGTCGTTTAAATATTAGTTATATAACATATGTACATATATAGTCATAAAAGGTCTTTCCAGTTCATCCCATGCCCGTGGGTAGCAAGGGTATACATCCATGCCCATACGTACCAGTTAGATTACTAGTAAACTACCATATGGGTAGTTTAGGAAGATACTAGAACTATTACTAGAACGCAATATCATACAATGAGGCAGTTCATTCATGAGTCAATACTTTCTAGATCATTACTATACATTACTATACTTGCTAGATAGAGAGAGCATACATTACAGCTAGAACATTATAGTACATTACTATACATGCTAGATAGAGGGAGAACACACATTACAGCTAGCACACGTTGAACATTACAGTACACTACTATACTAATACACGATCATACTTACATAAGTACAAGTACATGATCACACTTACTTGAGTATGCTTACATATACTTAGAACAGACGTCACTAGTTGCTATAGCACGGAGCCAGTTCAGGATCTAACTATACTGATGAATCACAACGCAATTGTGATGGTTATATCAAGTATACATGATCATAGTAATGTGGATGCTCACGGCTTGCATACTTGCAACGGTCGTGGGTAGGTCCCAAAAACCCTTTGATAGGGGAGCGTATAGTCTGGGATCTAGACATCACATTATACCTTATCCCTCAAATAAGGCAGTTGAGTACCGATGCAGTTATTTATATCAAATACTACAGTACTTGGAATTATTACCCTAGATTTAAGGTAATACGTACGGTTGTAGTTCGACACTACACCATAGTAGTATTTCTTTTCCCATTACATTCACTTCGTGAATTTTCACACGACGCACGGTAATGTAGAAACTATATTTTGATTAATGTTAGTCAGATTTGGGAAAACACACTCGTTTACGTGAGCCATACACGCATACACTAGATGCCTTGGTAGAAGGATACGATTAGTAGGAAACATAGGGCTTCCTAGAATCATACGAAACATATTTATACTTACAGTTCATATACATTTTTATACTTACAGTTCATATACATTCTCAATACTTACAATTCATATACATACAAATACTTACATACAAATTAAGACAATGCAATACTTATGATCTCACTAGCTTCAAAGCTGATACTCGCTTTCAAAATTACTTGTATGCTCAGGTCAACATAGACAGGTACCAATGCAAGGATTAGGTAAGATGGAGCTCGTTGAAGACTCATCTTTCATTTTGATTTATGCTTTAGTGTTTATCAAAATTTGACAGAATACACTTGTATAATAATTATATTATTAATGAAATGGATGATGTTGTTGCTTGTTTACTACTTTTCATTGTTGTGATACTGTACATGGCGTCCTCCGCCCCAGAACGTTTCCGCTGTTCTTGGTTTTGGGGTGTGACAGATTGGTATCAGAGCATTGTTTATAGTGAATTAAGTATATCAACCCATAAAAGATATACAAACTATAAATACATAAGGGATTAAAAATACTCTGACCAAGAGTTTATACTTTAAATAATAAAATATTTAAGTAAGTATACGTGCTGCATTCATACTAAAATCAGTGTCACTAGTACAATACAAAAGAATTACGATTGTTGGGCAACACAAGTGGGCTTAGAGACATATGGTCAAAACTAGGAAGATATAGCCTGATCACCTATATTATCCGAGAGTTGACTAGCATGTGCCTAAGTTTAATTGTGTGGTTGCAACAATGCTAAAATCTTACCAACCCTACCACAATGAGAACAATAGAACATAACATTAAAATTTAAATACAATAGGAGTATTTGGTGTTACTATAAGTACGTTATACTTGAGAACTAAAACGGGATCTTCATTACTAAGTTGATAGTTGCTAAGTGGATACACTAAGGCTACATGTAATTAGAATGTTATAGACTTAGAATCTGTGAAAATTTTGCCTTACCCCTATTCTGTGTGAATACGGAGTTAAGGTTACTTATTCGAAGGTCTATTCTGTTTAGATTACACATAGCTAGTATGCACTTCACAAATAGCGATGTAACTAATGAAGGTTTTCTAAATAATTATCTAGATAGTTCGTCTAATAATTATTTTCTTACCCCTAAATTCTCGCATAGAAAACATAGCTGGACTCCATCCCCTCGACAACCAGTCTCTTCCGAATGAATTCATAGCTGGTTGGTTTGGAGAAGAACCAGAGAATGATCATCCTATCCCTTTGAATGATCATGATGATGAAGACTTTTCGTACGATGCTAACTCCGAACCAGAGGTTGAGAACCTACCCTAAGCAGCTCCCTTTCCAACTCCTAACCATCGTCCGACTTTTCATGGCCCGACCCCCTGAGTGAGTGGAATGCTTGAAAACATGGAGCCAAGGACAAGATCAACCCATGCCATTTAATGGCGACCAACGCTTTTACGACATTAGCAATGGGGGCTCATCAGATAGAGTCTTGCCAATCTTGGTCCGTAGAGTGGCCCGAAATGAGATTCAAGGCATGACAGCCCTACATTAGATTACCGAAGTTGTCGCCAATGTGAGAATGCATACCCTCCACACCATTCGTCTAGAAGATACTCGTGAGAGATCAAAGAGAAACCATGAAACCCTACTGCAAGCACTGACTGAATCACGAGCCGGAGTTATAGAGCTCCGACTACGCTAGAGGGTATACGAAAGACACCTACTTGACGTGGAACGTCAACTGGCTGAACTCAGAGTTTACCAGAAGAATGACCGTCGCTAGTAATAGATGCTTTACTTTATTTTTCTTATAAAAAAAAGGGAAATTGTGTTTTCTATCTAGGCCCGATGTGGCATTTTCTATAAAATTATCTTGTACCGTAAGTACTTTAGTTAGGTCTTTATGTTGTCAAGAACTATCTTCTCTGTGGATATGATGTAAGACCTTTACAAGGTCATTTTCTCGAATCTTTACATCGTGAATATCAAGATATTGGCAGCCGGCTAACTTCTGTGTCATTCTTCATTCAAGTACTCTTATCATAATTTAAATGGGGTCTATCTGAAACATGCTTTAGTCAAGTCATTGGAATATAGTAATTTAGCTTGGGAAACATTTCCACGTCTCTTTCAGTGGTTGGATCCTGTTATTCACCAACCCA